GTTATTTTTTCACCCTTAGCATGAGAAGCAGCAGAGCCTAGTGACTCTGAAAACAGAACTCCCAACGATTTTCCAGCTGTGAATCTCACTTCTGTTATAAAGTGCCTGACTTTGGGCAAGACACTTAACCCACATGGCCTTCAAGTTCCTCGCTTCTAAGGTGGAGATGGTAGGAATAGCTGAGGTCACAGCCCTCCCATTTTCATAAGGGTTGGTGAGTCCCCAGAACAATGCCAGGCATAGAGCAGGCCCTGTGTATGTGGGTGCTACGCTGCTTGTGTTCCTCTTCTAAAATGTGTGTCTAAAATGTTCTAGGGTTAGGAAATTAAGCTCAGTTATCAGATACTCAAATAGATCAATTAAGTGTGGGTACTGTGGAGGCGTTTACCTGGTGAGCTCCGCAGGATCGATTTGGCATGAAGGTCCTTCTCTGGTCCTGCTCGATCTTCTCTCTTCCCTCTTCTCTGCCTCCCACCCCACCCCCATCACCTCTCGTAGCTATTGTTTATTTCCCACTCTGACCGACAGTGACATAGTTCTGGCCTGATGACATTTCTGGAGCCTCTCTCAGGCCCTACCTCTGCAAAACTCACCTGTAAATCCCCTTCCTCCCTGCCATCCAGCTCATCTTCCTCTTCTTACAAGCTGCTCAGTACTACCCTCTGGTTCCAAAACCTTACATGACTCACAACTACTTATCCAACTAAGTGCAAAATCTTCTGCCTGGCCTTGCCTGACCCCCACTTTTGTCTGTGTCTCTTATACCACAGCCCGGGGGACTCGTTCTGCATTCCCTGATAAGGGCCCACCCTGCCCACTCCTGCGCTCTGCTCATGTTCTTGTGGTCTAAGATGCTACAGCCCCACCTCCGTTCTTTTATGATCTCACTTATGCTTCAAGTTCACCTCACATGGGTTCTTTTCTTCCTTTGGAGCTCAGAGCACTTTATTTGAACCTCTTGTTTGACACATGTTCTCTCTGAGCTGCGCTGTGTCCTTTCCCCCCTCGCCTGCTGCTCAGGACCAAGCATGCTATGAAGAGCAGCTATGGATCTGGGCCTCCTGCCCCACATTTGCAGGGTGGGCAGACCCTACACACTGAGTAGGAGACCCCACTGGAGAGGTGAGCGGAAGCCTGGGACCCGGGGCACTGGCACCCACACCATCTGTTGTGGTGGTTCCATCTGTACCTAGGGGTGGCTCCAAACGGAAAAGTGAGGCGTGAAGAGGGGCAGAATTCAGGCACTAGCCCTGATTTCCTGGGTCAGACCAGAAATTTCTAACAGAAGTCAGGAAGCTGAGCTGGGGCTATTCCCTGGGTGGTGGGGTGAGGCATGGCCTCCCTGTGAGGAGGGGGGAGCTCCTGGGGGGGCTGGGCCAGGTACACCTACTCTGCCCTGCCTTGGTGTCCCTTCCATACTTGCCTCCTAGTCCCCTCTGTAACACCACTGCCCCCCACCCCCCCACACACACACACAGGGCTCTCACAGAGGAGGCTGAGCTGACTTCCTGTGGACAGGTGCCCAAGGGACACAAATGGGAAAGCAGCCGGTGGGAAGAAAATGACTGTGACCACAAGGTCCAAACCAGGAGGTGGCGCCACTTCCCTCCATCCTTATCCTCACGACCCTTTTCCGTTTGCTTCCCCCCTGAGAGCATCACAAGCTCAGAACCAATGAGCCCTGCTTGCACGGGGTCCCTCTCCACGAGTTCAGGCCTGAGTGACCCCACAGGGGGGTTTCAGGCCCCAGTCTGACCTTTAAGGGACCTCTGAGGATTGAGGGGTACAGAGGACTCCTGCCAGCCCCATCCTGGTCCCAGTTTCTCCCACCTGCCAGAGTCCACTGACCATATTTAATGGCTTTCTGGGACCCAGCTGTTTCCTCCTCCTCTCCCGCAAGCCCAGGCCCTTTCACTGTCCTAACCACACCGTGTACCCTTGCCCTGAGTTGACCTGACTTATTGGACAATGACTACTTTCTCTCCTAATCTGGGGCCTTCCCCCTGTCCCCTCATCCTTGCAAGGGACCACCAGCCTCATGGGAAGATGGCCCCTGCCTAAGGATTCTTGTGTCCCTTTTCAAGCTGCTGGTGTTGGGAGAAGACCTACTAAACAAATCCTCCCTGGGAGTGGATAGAAATATAGATGAAAGGAGACTGCCCTTGAGTCAGTAATTCTTGCAGCCTGGCAATGGGTACATTGTCAAGGATACCGTTCTACTTCTGCATCTATATATATATTTGAGATTTTCTATAATAAAAAAGCCATGAAATAAGTTCTCTTGGATGTATCAAGTTCTCTGGCCTTGTGAACAACATGGTTCTACACGCCCCATTTGCCTTCCTACAGAATAAGCTGAAAGGGAAAAGGTCTGTATGGGCAGAGGTGATGCAGTGACCAGGCTGCTAATGCTCACTAATAATGACTGATATTTCTTAAGTGCTTGTGATATGCCAGACACTGTCCTGACAACTTACACAGGTGAATTTAATCTTCATGAGAATCCTATTAAGTAGATGATGAAACCAAGGCTCAGAGAGGTCATCCAAGGTCATATGCCAGCAGTGGTAGGACTCTCTCCAACAGCTCTGCTCGTGCTGATGCTGGCAGAGTCAGAGCTGGCTCCGGGTCCTTTTAGACAAGTTTAATCATGGGAGAAGACACCTGGCCCAAGGTTCCTCTTCTAGGTTATAAATAGTAAGACCATGGCTCAGCTGCACCTTGACAGGTGAGTTACAGGAGATGCTTCTTTCTGGCCAGTTTCCAGTGACAGCTTTTGTGAAAAGGCAAACAAAGGTCATACTCCCATGGCAGGCAAGGGTGGGGCAGGCCAAAGAGTAGTCCCCGTCCTGGCATTTATGGGAACCGGGCAGTTATAGGAGCCCCACTCCCAATGCCACGCCAGGCCCCTTTTCTCCTCCTCATGTCCTGCATGTTCAAACCAGGTTATGCCCCTCCAAACAGTCCCCATTGGAGGACAAACCCCAAGATAAGATTACGCAGGTTCTGGAGTCAGGCTGGGCCATTGGGTGGGGAATTCTGGGGTCCTACATATCTGGAATGTGATCTAGAAGGTGGACCCTCGAAAGTGAGCCTAGAATATCCATTAATCTGGGGGAGGACAGAGAAGGGCCTAAGGGTTAGGATGCCAGGGAGACACCTGCCCTGAGGTCAGTACCATGACTTCTAATTTAGACTCTTGCCATTTTCTGGAAATGAGGCTAAACAGTCACAGTATGGAAAGAAGATGAGGTTCATTCTTGGTGTCCCATTACCTGACCACACAGCCTGCAGGAAACCACAAATTAGCATTTCCAAGCAATCAGATCACCCTAACACAATGACATTCTATTCTCTGTGTTAAAAGCATTAACTGATTAAGTGCAAAAGCTTAAAATAAGCTGTTTTGAAAGCCCACTTTGGCACTTCTTCCTTTTTAATTTCCTCAGGGCCTCAAAACTGGAAGAACTGGGGATGAGGGGGAGGTTTTCCACATCTGAGACATCTCCCCAGAGATGATTTTGAGGAGGGAACCCTTGGGCTCATGAGCCCCACCCCCCCTCCCCGCCCCCCAGATCAGGCCAGTAGAAACCACCTCCAAGACTCTCCAGGGGAGTAAGTGAATAGGCACGGATAACTGAAGTCCTCACATTCATCCCAGTTTCCAGCAGCTCTTGTTTTCCTCTTATTTAAACAATTCTTGGTATTTAATAATCTCTGGCCACATCTGCAAGGGCACCTGGGAGCAAGGAAGGTTTTCCCATTCCTGGAATGCAAGGGGTGATGAGTGGGCCTTTTAAAAAGAATCCTGGAGTCAGACACGGTTCCCAGGAAGGCAGCAGCTTGTCAGATGGGTCTGGGCTTGTGGGATAGTGCCCAACCCTCTGCTGATGGTTGCACTGGGGTACCCGCAAAGGCATAGTTAGTGATAGAGATGGCTACCCTTCCCCACCCGCTGTGCTTGGCCATGGCAGGGAACCCACAGGCCGCTGAGAGACTCTATGTGGCTTGTCTCAGGCCTCGCTGGGAAAGGCAGGCCAGGGGCAGAGGAAGAAGAGGGTCCCCAATGAGTGAGAAGGAGAGTGCCCAATTCTGTGCTTAGATGGGGTCTCAGGAGACAGCCATTGTGGGGAGATCAGGGAGTGGGCCTCAGCAAGGTCAGGGGACCCCTCTCTCTAACAAACTGCCCTCTGGTTGCAGCTGGTGGAGTCAGGATGCAGAGGCACCAGGGCACCCAGCGGGTCTCATTTATTGTCTTGTACCAGATGGAGCAGCAGAGACAAGATTTTCTGAAGAGGTAGGAGTGAGGCTGAGGTGGGGCCTAGGCAAGGGGCTGGTCTTAGAACTATCCAGGGCCACCTATTCTAATAAGGAAGAAGTAATCAGCCCAGAGCAGAGGCCCCCAACTCTCTCCCAGGGGACATTTGGCAGCATCTGGAGATGTTTTTATTACTATGACTGGGTGAAGGAGTGTCACTGGCACCAGGGGCTGGAGCTGGGGAGCTGGTGACCATCCTGCAATGCACGCAATGCACAGGACAGTCCCCACAGCAAGGCATGGTCTGGGCACAGTGCCAACACACAGGAGAGAAGCCCTGGCCTGGGCTCTGGAGGCAGCAGGCCTGTCTGAACCTCTGCACCACTCCTGTAGGACCTAGGAATCCTTTCTAAGCTGCACCCACCCCCCCAGCCAATACTCACTCTCCAGGTGGGGTGATGCTCAGAGGGACTCCACCCGGGTCACATGCATGATGCCAGGGTGGCATTCAGGTAAGAACTATGTTACTCAGGACATAGCTCATGGGGTTGTTGCAAGGATTAAACGAGATGAGGCCTAAGGAACACCGCGCCCAGAGCTCTGCCCTAGCTCAGAGTAAATAGTGTGCCATGAATAGTACTTTTAAGACATATGGGCAGAGGTGGTTGGGTGCAGGAAGAAAAACACGAACACATGGAGACAGAAGTTAGATAGCTGTGTTTTCAGTAAGGCAGAGGCCACGTCATCTCCTGATGGTGGAGAGCTTCGTGTTCAAAAATTCTTCTGTGAAGGCAGGAATAGTAAACAACTGAAAAGAAAAGAATACAAGGCAGCATTGCTGGTTTTGTTGTAGTTAGATGGGAGAGCAACTCCCATTTGTAGGGGACTCCTTCCAGGGCCAGGCCCCGTTCTAGGTACTTTCATTGTCCACATAATCCTCATAAGGACCCTAGGAGGCAGGAACCATCTTATAGAAGGGGGCACTGAGGATCAAAGGGTTAGAAGTTACTCTAGGCAAACCCAGGAGCAGACCCTGGGGCTGACTGTGAACGTGGACCTCCTTGGTGAGAGGCGACCTGAGCCAGGGTGTCCAACCAACCTCTTAGGCCACAGTGGGCAACTCAGTGCCCATGGAACATGCCCTTGAAGCTTCTTCCCACAGGCTGTGTGGAATGAAGGTGCCTGAGCTCAGCTGACCTCTTGGTTCATCTGGCTCTCGAGGTCAGCTGTAGCGACCAGCACTGACCAGCACACCTTGGGCTGCTGCACCAGCTGCACAAACACAGGCCTCTCACCAGAGCAGGCAGGATGCCCTGGTAGGCACACACCCCCTCTGAGGAGGACCTTTGCTCAACTTGTTCTTTGGGTCTTTTCTTAATTTCAGCCCGTCCTGTCCATTTTTCTCAAATTGCAATTCATTTATCAGTGTGATTAGAAACCCCCACCCATAGGTAGTGAGTCACATTGCTGGGCTCTCGGGTGACTGCTGGGGCTGCTCACTGGCTTATTAGCCTTATGAACTTGAATGAGTCATTCATTCTCTGTACCTCTGTTCCTTCCTACCACAGGGGTCACCGCAAGGAACAATTGGGTTAATACCTACGCATGCCCAGAGCCCTGCGTTCCATTTAGCAAATGCTCAATTACCATCTGCTTCATTGAGGACAGTGATGGGGAAGCTGACAGGAAGAGAGATGGCCCTACAGGCCTTCCTCTGGAAAATTGCCCAGGAGCTGGGCCAGAAGAGGCCATTCCCAAGGCTGTGTTGACAAAGTGCCGAAGGATGACATGCTGGCAGCCCAGCCCGCTGGCAGGCTAGACTCACATACCTCAAGTGCCAACCCTAGTCTAGGTTTGAGGATAAGCTTTATCTTACCCAGGGCACACAGCTGCCTGTACACTTGCTCCAAAGCTAGTAGCCCAAATTACTGGGAGATGGGGAGGAGAACACATTAAAAATATTTTAATTCACACTTTCCCCTCTCTTTATTTATATATATATATATTTCTTTCTTTTTTTGAGACAGAGTCTCACTGTTACCCTCAATAGAGTGCTATGGCATCACAGCTCACAGCAACCTTACACTCTTGGGCTTAAGCAATTTCTCTTCCCTCAGCCTTCCAATTAGCTGGGACTATAGGCGCCCACCACAGTGCCCAGCTATTTTGTTGTTGTCATCATTGTTTAGCAGGCCTAGGGCCAGGTTTGAACCCACCAGCCTCGGTTATGTGGCTGGCGCCATAACCACTGAGATACAGGCACCACCAAATTTATATATTTGAGACAGAGTCTCACTTTGTCACCCTGGGTAGAAGGCTGTGGCATCACAGCTTGCTCCTTAGCTAAGAAATTCTCCTGTCTCAGCTTCCCAAGTAGCTGGGACAACAGGCCCCTACCACAATGCCCAGCTTTTTTTTTTTCTGTTTTTAGTAGAGATGGGGTCTCATTCTTGTTCAAGCTGGTCTGGAACTCCTGAGCTTGGGAGATCCACCTGCCTCAGCCTCTCAGAATGCTGGGATTACAGGTGGGAGCTACCATGCCTGGACTCCCCTCTCTTTAAACTGGGGTGGAAACCAGAGTGATGTACCTGTCTCCTTTCCACCTTTCACAGATATTTTTCTAGAGCACCCAATAAAGTTAAGAGGAAACTTGTTAACATGGAGACTCCTTGGGCTTCACGTGTTTACAAATTGATAATGTATTTCTCTCACATTTCACCTAAGGCATCAGCCTGCTGACATCTTCAATACACACTCAGATGAAACATTTGGTTCCCAAGGTTGACAAGCCAGCCAAGAGAAGGAGGAAAGGCAAGGGAGGCATGGGGGCGGGGGTAGGGGTGCGGCAGAGGTGTGAGGCAGTGCCAGACGGGAGGACAAAACAACTCTCCTTTCCACACTGAGGACATCCCAGGGCCTGGGGCTCACCCTGCCTGTAAAGAGTGGGAAACAGAACCCCAGAGCTCTTCGTCCCACCCTCTGGTGCCTTCACTCCACAGTCTAGGACCCCAAAATCCTCCCCACAAATTGCCCAGCTTGTCTCTAGGACCTGTATGGATCTCATGCCTGGGTTTGTCCTCTGAGGGTGGATTGTGTTCCTAGTACACTTCCCCGGGCCCAAGGGGGACTGTTTAGAGGGGATTAACCCAATTTGGATATGAAAGGAGAGGGGGAGAGAAGGGGTCTGGCGTGGCATTGGGAGTGGGGCTCTATCCGTACTCCTGCCCGGTTCCCATAAATGACAGGGCAGGGACTACTCTCTGGCCACCCCACCCTTGCCCTGCCTTGGGGTATGACCTTTGTTTGCCTTTTCATAAAGGGCCGTCATTGGAAACTGGCTACAAAGAAGAATCTCTTGTCACTCTCGCCTGTCAAGGTGCAGCTGATCTTAGTATTTAAAACCTAGAAGGGGAACCTAGGGCCAGGTGTCTTCTCCCATGATTAAACTTGTCTAAAAGGGCCCCGAGCCAGCTCTGACTCTGCCAGCATCAGCAAGACCAGGGCTATGGTATGCAGCCAGACTTTCCAAATCTATCTTTGTCACTCACTAGTATATGACCCTGGATAACCTCTCTGAGCAATGCTGTCATCATCTGTAAAATGGGGGACATAATAGTAATAGCTACTTAATGGGCTATGGCCTCCAGAGATAGAGGAGGTGAAGGCAGAGAGGGCCAAACGAGTCCTATTTAGGGGCTGGAGGGGCAGATGGGACTCCTCTGGATAGGCCAGAGGCAGGGTGAGCAGGACAAGCAGTATGACCCAGGTGAGAGCAGCAAGGGGACAGAGTAGGGGTAAGAAGAGAGAACCCACCAAAGTCCCATTAGCAGAAGGGGTTGGGAAGTGGAAGGACAGAGCTGGCCATTTATGCAGGAATGAGGAGAGGACCCTGGGAGGAAGAGCAAGGTCAGCACGTCAGTCCTCTGAGAGTGTATCCTCTGCTCGCGCTCTCTGAGATATTTCAGCTGACACGGTTACACGGCACTCACACCCTCAGAGCATGTGGAACACATCCCAGTGCAGCTACTGAGCTGGGGTATCTATAGAGCAGGGGTTGATCTAGCCCAGCATGGTGCCTCCTTACACACCCCGAGGACAACTGGTGCCCAGGGTAACAGGTGTAGCTGGGACAGGCACCATTACCCCCAAGTCCAGTAAAGGCCTGGCCACCTCTCTTCAGGTCCAGGGTATCTTAGGACCCTGCTCTGAGGCTGGGAGAACCTCCTTGCTGGAGGGTTCCTGGAGGCTGGGCTCCTTCCTCGCCACTTTCTGTGCTGCCTGGTCCAAGCAAACTTCTACCCCAAGGAAAGGGGAAGACAACATTCCAGCTGTTGGGATGCCCAGGAGTGCTGCCCACTCAGTCAGAAGCCAGGGAGATGTGTCACTCTCAGCCCAGAGGTCCCCCCTAGCTGAAATCAACATCTGGTTTCCTTTCTCTTCACTTGGCTGACCCAGGAAGTTGCCTCCCTGGTTTTCGTGGTAGTCCATAGAGAGCCATCGAAGGCCACACTGGGACAGGGAACGCTGAGTGAGTGACCACATGTGAGAAAAGGGCTGAGGGGCCGGAGAACCGATTGGAGGCCATCACTGTAATCTAACCCAGTGGCTCCCAACTGGGTGGCTTTGTCCCTCGGGGGCATTGGTAATGCCTGGAGACAATTTTGAGGGTCATAACAATGTGTGTGGGAGGTGCTCCTGGCATCCATGGGCACAGGCCAGGGACACCTCTAGACAGTCCTCAATACCGCAACAGCCCCACAGCAAAGAATGTCAGCAGTGCCAAGGCCGAGGATTACTGATCTCCCAAGAAGTGAACACAGGGTCTAAGAACAGATCTTCCAAGGGAGACAGGATGGGACTCAAAGAGACAGAAGGTACAGTAGAAAGAGGAGCCGCAGGAGGTGGGAAGGATTGGACAGGGTGGCAACCAGGCGCCTGGAGAAGGTGGCCAAGTCAAGGAAACTAGTGTGAGTGTGACAAAGAAGTGGCCCAGGTGCCTAATGGTGAATCACACAGAGGAATCTGATGGGGTTGTGGACCCGCTCGACCACTCAGAGTGAGACAGAGTCCATCTGGGTTGGAGAGTGGCCTGTGGAGCCTTCTCCTAAGACCACATGGCATCACGCTCCTGAGGCTCAACCTCCCACCACAGGAAGGAAGAACATGACTGGGCTTCTGCCTCCTGCCCAGCCCCACGTGGCTGCTCCCTCCCCACACTACACCCTCCATCCCTGCAGAGGTGTGTCCTCACCAGCAGCCTGGCTCCACCCCACGCTCTGCACATGCTGTATTTCCTGGGCCTGTTTCACTCATCTCTCTGGATGCAGACCACTTCCAAGTTCTCTGGGCAAACTGCTCTATCCTCACGCCTCTCAGTCCTTCTATGGCACGTGGGCCCAAATCCCATCCAGGATCCAGGATAGAGGTTATGTCCTAATGGCTGCTTACTGAATTATTTCTGCTTGAGGCCTCTTGATCCCTCCACCAACATCTAGGCTTTCATCTTTGTCTTTTCACAGTTAGCAAAGAAGTGTTTGTTGAATGAATAAATGAATAAATCCGTGGATGGATAAAGATACAGAATTTGTCAATCAATAAACAGAGGAGACTGTCAGAACTAGGTGATGGATAAATCTCCAAGAAATCATTTACACACAGAAGAAGAGTGAATTGAAGCCCCCCTGAAGAGTGAAGTTGCAGTTCATGAGGGGATAAGAATGGGGGGAAGAGCAGGAATGTAGGAGAACAGGGATCTCCTGGGGCCACAGGGGCCAGGAGAGGGGTTTACATGGCAGGCCAATGTGGTTTAATGAGTTCAGCAGGCCAAGTGCTATGGAAACAGACTATGAATTGGTCTGTGACCTTCAAAAGAGCAGTTATGCCCTTAAATGGGAGAACACTGTCCCCCCCCCCAAACACTGTATTCCTGTGGACTTTGGGGAAGCAGAGGATGGGGGAGCAGGATAAAAGAGGATGAGACCCAGAGACAAGGTGGCAGACGGGGTTGGTTTTACCAAATCTGATGTGACTAGCTGCCAGTCAGAGCTAATTGGCCGCACAGA